GCGTAAGCTCCTCTGGTGCAGAGACTGATGTGACTGTGGGGGGAGGGGACATTAGAGCGTAAGCTCCTCTGGTACAGAGACTGATGGGACTGTGGGGGAGGGGGACATTAGAGTGTAAGCTCCTCTGGTACAGAGACTGATGTGACTGTGGGGGAGGGGACATTAGAGTGTAAGCTCCTCTGGTACAGAGACTGATGTGACTGCGGGGGAGGGGACATTAGAGTGTAAGCTCCTCTGGTACAGAGACTGATGTGACTGCGGGGGAGGGGGGACATTAGAGCGTAAGCTCCTCTGGTACAGAGACTGATGTGACTGTGGGGGAGGGGACATTAGAGTGTAAGCTTTTCTGGTACAGAGACTGATGGGACTGTGGTGGGGGAGGGGACATTAGAGCGTAAGCTCCTCTGGTACAGAGACTGATGTGACTGCGGGGGAGGGGACATTAGAGCGTAAGCTCCTCTGGTACAGAGACTGATGTGACTGCGGGGGAGGGGGACATTAGAGCGTAAGCTCCTCTGGTACAGAGACTGATGTGACTGTGGGGGAGGGGACATTAGAGCGTAAGCTCCTCTAGGTACAGACTGATGTGACTGTGGGGGAGGGGACATTAGAGTGTAAGCATCTCCTCTGGTACAGAGACTGATGTGACTGCGGGGGAGGGGACATTAGAGTGTAAGCTCCTCTGGTACAGAGACTGATGTGACTGCGGGGAGGGGACATTAGAGCGTAAGCTCCTCTGGTACAGAGACTGATGTGACTGTGGGGGAGGGGGACATTAGAGTGTAAGCTTTTCTGGTACAGAGACTGATGGGACTGTGGGGGAGGGGACATTAGAGCGTAAGCTCCTCTGGTACAGAGACTGATGTGACTGCGGGGGAGGGGACATTAGAGCGTAAGCTCCTCTGGTACAGAGACTGATGTGACTGCGGGGGAGGGGACATTAGAGCGTAAGCTCCTCTGGTACAGAGACTGATGTGACTGTGGGGGAGGGGACATTAGAGCGTAAGCTCCTCTGGTACAGAGACTGATGTGACTGCGGGGGAGGGGACATTAGAGCGTAAGCTCCTCTGGTACAGAGACTGATGTGACTGTGGGGGAGGGGACATTAGAGTGTGAGCTCCTCTGGTACAGAGACTGATGTGAACTGCGGGGGGGGGGGAGGGGACATTAGAGTGTAAGCTCCTCTGGTACAGAGACTGATGGGACTGGCTCAGTGTTCTCTGTACTGCACTGCGGTATATGTCAGAGCTATGTAAATGTATAATAATAATAGTGTGTGACTGGGGAGGTAAAGGAGTATTCCCCCCCCCCCCCACCCCCAGTTTTTCTTCCTCCTGCTCATTGTCCTTTTAGTCATTTTTTTTCTGTTTTCCTTCACAGGGAAGAGTGTGCGCAGATAAAGATTCCCCGGGATATGGATGACGCCAAGGCTCTGGGGAGAGTGCTGTCCAAATACAAGGACACGTTCTATGTGGAGGTCCTGGTGGCGTATTTTTGCCACGTATATGTCTTGTATCCTTTGCAACTATAACCCGTGGTTCACATCTGTGGGGGTCATGATTTGCGGGGGGCCCGAGGGCCCATTCATTTGAATGGACTCCCGTGCCCTGGGACACGCAGGGAAGAAGTTCCTGCACTACATTAATGGGACCCGATTTTTGCATTGAAGTAGTGGTGCACCGAAATTAAAATTCAGGATGGATGTTGGCAAAAACCGAACCGAAACCAAAATGTCTGCGGCAGGGAGGCTCCAGTTTTTTTTTTTTCTTGTATTTTTTTTTCTACTTTCATGTATATTTTTAATTACTTTTTTTCAACTTATGTTTTTTATTGCTATCACAGAGGAGAGCAATAGTCCCCTATGTGATAACATATGAGTGACAGGTCCTCTTTGTAGGGGGTGGGGGGAGTGTGCAAAGAGAGGGGCAGTGTATACAGAGAGGTTCCTCACTGGCTGTCATTATAGGTTAATGCCTGTTTTTAAATGCAATTGCCGGCTTTTTTTTTTTTTTTTTCTTCACTATAGCTCTTAGAATGAGCTGTCACTTTCCCTGGAGCTAAAGGATGCTTTGTTTCTTTTAACTCAGGAAAGAAACTAAAAGGAAACTTTGTTTTATCTCGGGAAAGAAACTAAAAGGAAACTTTCTTTTATCTCGGGAAAGAAACTAAAAGGAAACTTTGTTTCTTTTAACTCGGGAAGGAAACTTTGTTTCTTTTATCTCGGGAAAGAAACTAAAAGGAAACTGTTTTCTTTTAGCTGGGGGGAAAGTGAAAGCTCATTTTGTGAGCTATAGGGAAGAAAAAAAAAAAGCTGGTAATTACATTTTAAAATCTGTCACAGACATAGTGACAGCCAGTCACTGTATACACTGCTCCTCTCCTGCCTTTCTCAGCCCCCTCCCCCCCCTTATCTGCAGTACACACAGACACCTGTATCGGCTAAATGTTTCCTATCTGCAAAATGCCGATAGCACTATTTTCTGACACATTTCTACATTGAAGTCAACGGGACACGATTTTTACATTGAAGTTAATTATCATTATCGTCAGCAGCTTTTTTTTTTTCTTTTTTTTTTTTCTTTTTTTTTCTATTGGCAAAACACCGATAACCCTATTTTTGGGCGATTCATTTTTGGATTTTAGATTCCTCAGTTTTGTTCAGCTTGTGCCGCCTGTCCTGAGCTGTGCCTAGGCTACAACTCCACTAGAACTATATCATAACTCCGGCCTGGGTTCTAGATTCCTCAGTTCTGTTCAGTTTGTGCCGCCTGTCCTGAGCTGTGCCTAGGCTACCGCTGCACTAGAACTATATTATGACTACCGCTTGGGATTCTAGATTCCCCAGTTCTGTTCAGTTTGTGGTTCCTGTTCTGAGCTGTGCCTAGCCTACTACTCCACTAGAACTATATCATGACTCCAATCTAGGTTCTAGATTCCTCAGTTCTGTTCAGTTTGTGGTTCCTGTCCTGAGCTGTGCCTAGGCTACAACTCCACTAGATCTATATCATGACTCTGGCCTGGATTCTAGATTCTTCAGTTTTTGCCGCCGGAGCTGTGCCTAGGCTACAACTCCACTAGAACTATATCATGACTCCGGCCTGGATTCTAGATTCTTCAGTTCTGTTCAGTTTGTGCCGCCTCTCCTGAGCTGTGCCTAGGCTACAACTCCACTAGAACTATATCATGACTCCGGCCTGGATTCTAGATTCATCAGTTTGTGCCACCTGTCCTGAGCTGTGCCTAGGCTACAACTCTGCTAGAACTTTATATCATGATTCCAGAGCTGGTCGGTGATCTCCAATTTTCTGATCACGTGTCCCAGAAGACTACGGAGAGGGAGGGAGGAGGACAACTTCCACTTCCGGATCAGTGGGAGTGGGTACCTGTCAAATTTGGGTACCCACTCCCCCCAAGTGCTCCCCAAAGCTGCCAATGGGGAGCAGGGGACCAGTCTTTAAAGCGGAACTTCCCCTTTTGGGGCGGAGCTCCGCTTTAAGGTCCCTATATAAAGAAAGGTGACCTCCACCAGCCTTAAATATTCTCCTGGAATCTGTTCCTCTGACAGAGACCATGTGACCAGATGCCAGCCAATGAGGGAATCCCATTGTTGGGAGATAAAGCAGAAGACTGCACACCAGAAGTACTGATGCAGAATGATACCCGGAGATTGTACCCGCAGCTGCATTGCGGACTGTACCACGATCATCACTAAATGGGGAATCTTCTTTAACCGAGATGCGTCCAGTCTACAGACCTTCGCTATTCCGGGCTCCATATTCCTCAGTATCCTGTCTGGATTCCTCTACCCCTTCCCCCTGGCTCTCTTCCTCGTCTGTTTGGTGAGTATCTGGGTAGTCCCCTTTTTCCACTCCTGGCCTAAAGTCATTTTTTGATGTTCCAAAAACAAGAAGGGTGTTTTAACGTCTGTAACGGAACCAACCCTCAGACTGCGCTTGAGTATTTCCGTTAGAATACCGCTTCCCCGTCCGAACACCGACCACGGACACCACAGCCCACCATACAGGACGACACCAGGCTTGAAGTAAACCAGGAGGTAGACTAATTTATTTGAACATAGATACAGGATATATACACTCAGGAGACAGTCCCCCCCTCCTTGCATAATGTCACAGGGCGGGGCAATCTACATTTAGTAACGACACACAGGTATTCAAACTTCACACCAGCAGACAGTCCCATCAGGAGGGAGGGCTGCTGGAGTCACTCCCCACTAAGCTAATACACATAAACACATCCCATAATAGTTTGCTCCCAAGCCAAACAATAGAACAGTGGGATGCAGCCCCACAACACCATACAATCCACAACCCCCCCCCCATCTCCTAGACATGTCTACACAATATTAGGACAGATCACCCTGTACCCCTAACAGGCACAGGGTGACTTACACATAATAGGGATATGGGGAGCTGAGACAGGGGGACAATACAGATCAATACAAGAGGGTTAGGAGGGCCTGATCCTGGGAGCTTACAATCTAGGAGGGAGGGGCTAGTGGTACAATAGGTAATAACTGTGGGGGATGGACTTGTAGGAGTAGAAGATTCCATTATTAGCTGAGGGCAGGATAGGCTTCCCTGAAGAGATCGGGTGTTCAGAGATCGCCTAAAAGTGAGCAGAGTAGGCGACAGTCTGATAGATTGGGGTAGAGAGTTCCAGAGGAACTTGCCTAACGATAGTGCACACCGTGTATATAGAGAAGATTGTTTTCTATCCGCATCACCGCAGGGTGTTTGTAGCCATTCAGCTGTACACCCTCAGTGAGCATGCTCCGTCTCATTGTCTGCTGCTCCCGAAGTGTTCGTTTCTTCCCTCCCAGCAATCCTGGTGTCACTAGCCTGGCTGCGCAGTCTGGCAGGATTATCCGTATCGTAAGACTGGCTGAACAGAAGTACAATTCCTCTGTAGGGTACGTGTCCGCTCACGCGCTCTCCTGTCTCTCCTTCCAGTGTTCGGGTCTCGGAGCGTCGTTCTGCTACATGCTGTCCTATCATGTCGGGAGGCCGATCGTCTACAAATATCTGACAGAGAAAGCCGTCAAATGGTCAGAGCAGGTAATGCCCATTGTATGGAAAGATTCGATTGTCCGAGGGCCACATTTCTGTTGTGGGCGGCATCCACCGGCATCTTTTATCTCAGGTGTGAGATTTCTCAATGCATATAAGGGGGCCCAGGTTTTTGGGGGGTTTGGGGAGTTTTTTTTCTTTGGGGGGCGCAGTTGTTTTCTTTTTGTTTTTTGCATTTTATTGGGACCCGAATGTAAGGGGGTACTCTGGGGTTAACTGATCATACGTAAGGGAGCACTCTGGGGACCCTGATGTAAGGGGGTACTCTGGGGTTACCTGATCATACGTAAGGGAGCACTCTGGGGACCCTGATGTAAGGGGGGTACTCTGGGGTTAACTGATCATACGTAAGGGAGCACTCTGGGGACCCTGATGTAAGGGGGTACTCTGGGGTTAACTGATCATACGTAAGGGAGCACTCTGGGGACCCTGATGTAAGGGGTACTCTGGGGTTAACTGATCATATGTAAGGGAGCACTCTGGGGACCCGGATGTAAGGGGGTACTCTGGGGTTAACTGATCATACGTAAGGGTGCACTCTGATGGGGACCCTGATGTAAGGGGGTACTCTGGGGTAACTGATCATACGTAAGGGAGCACTCTGATGGGGACCCTGATGTAAGGGGGTACTCTGGGGTTAACTGATCATACGTAAGGGAGCACTCTGATGGGGACACTGATATAAGGGGGTACTCTGGGGTTAACTGATCATATGTAAGGGAGAGACTGATGGGGACCCTGATGTAAGGGGGTACTCTGGGGTTAACTGATCATACATAAGGGGGCAATCTGATGGGGGCCCGATGTAAAGGGGAACTCTAATAGGGACGGCTTGATATAAGGGGGCCCAGGTTCTGTTTAAGTACCCTAATCTAATGATGACCTAATACATACTAGTGTTTCCTGAATCATGACACCATCAGAGACTCACACACACAGTGCTGACATTGTGCCCCCTGACTTTGGTACACTGAGCACCCCCATATCAGGTAGGCTCAGAGATCCGGACCCTGCAGTCTGTGTTTGGACCGCGCCCATTGCAGTGTAAGTGTGTATATATATGCCTGTGGGTGTTGTGTGTGTGCATATATACATATAGAGTACAGTTGCAATGGGGAAAAAGTATGTGAACCCCCTGGGATTAACTGAGTCATATGTCATTGAATTGGGCATAAAAATGTGTTCTGAACGTCATCTGTCACAACAATAGAAGAACACAGTCTGCTGAACATAATACTAACACAAACATTAGATGTTGCCATGGTTTCATTGCACATAAAGGGGAATGTCATTCACAGTGCAGGAGGAAAAAGTGATGTGAACCTGTTGGCCCAGGACTTAATTAACTGGTTACCCTCCTTTTGGGCACTCAATAACCTCATAAACCAAACGTTTCCTGAAGTTGCAGATCACCTATCCTGCACAACGACAGTGGAGTCATTTGGACCACTTCCCTCTTCACAAAAATGTTTCATATGTAGCAATATTCTTGGGATGTCTGGTGTGAATCGCTGCTCTTAAGGTCATTGTCCCGCTGCAATCAATGGGGTGTTGAGGTCAGGACTACTGACTATGCCACTCCTGAAAGGCGTATTCTGTGCTGTGCATTTGGCCATTGTTTTGTTGAAGACTTGTATGCTTTGGGTCCTTGTCCTGTTGCATCACCCATCCTCGTGCAGAGCATTCAGTTGGCAGACAGATGGTCGTACAAACGTTTTCCTGCAAAATGTCTTGATAAACTCTGGAATTTCATATTTCCCATCATGACAACAATCCGTAGCCCTGGCCCTGAGGCAGCAAAGCAGCTACCCAAACCATAGATGCTCCCTCCGCCATGTTTCACATTGGGGATGAGGTTTTGATGTTGGGTGCTGGGCCTTTTTTTTCTCCACACATAGTGTTGTGTGTTCTTCCCAAACAACTCCATCTTAGGTTTCATCTGTCCACAGTATATTCTCCAGTACGTTCCTGTAGTGGAACATCCAGGTGCTCTTTTGCAAACTTCAAAACTTGCTGCAATCTTCTTTTTGGACAGCAATGGCTCTTCACCTCCGTGGTGTAGCTCTTCTTGTACTCCATTCTGTTTTAATGATTTTCCTTATGTAGATGTGTCACAAACAAATGTTAGCATGTGCCAGAAGATTTCTGTAGGTCTTTAGCTGACACTCTGGGATTCTTCTTTACTCTCATGCAGCATTCTGCGCTGTGCTCTTGCAGTCATTTTTTACAGACGACCGCATGCCTAGGGAGAGTAGCAACAGTGCTAAACTTTCTCCATTTGTAGACAGTCTGTCTTACCGTGGACACATGAACATCAAGGCTTTTGGGAGATACTTGGTGTAACCCTTTCCAGCTTCATGATAAGTCAACAATTTCTTGATGGTAGGTCTTCTGAGAGCTCTTTTCTGTGAGGCATGTTTCACATCAGACAGTGCTTCTTGAAACCAGTAAAACCCAAAACAGGGTGTCAGCAACACATCCAATATCAATCACACTACTGATTGGAGTCAAGGTGTGCTCACTCCTGGCTCCAATTAGCTCTGGGGAGAAGTCATTAAGCTAGGGCCTCACAGTACTTTTTCTCCCTGCACTGTGAATGAGGTTTACATAGTGTATGTGTTCAATGAAACCATGGCAACATCTAATGTTTGTGTAGTCATTCTGTTCAGCAGACTGTATCTTGTCCTATTGTTGTGACTTAGATGGACGTTTCAGAGCACAAATTTATGCCCAGGGGCTCTTTTGCAAAACTCCACGTAAATCCCAAGGGGCTTCACATACTTTTTTCTTTTTGCAAACTGTGTGTAATATATAAACTGTGTGGTTGTGTGAGTGATATATATATAGTATATATATGTGTGTGTGTGTATATGTAATAGAATGTGTGTCTGGGGGTGTTGTATGTTCATGGCAGTTTATTCTGAGTCAAGCGATTACCATGTCACCTGATATCTATATAATCACATCGGAGGCTCCACGTCACCTGAATCCCAATGTATACTCCGGTCTCCGCTCTTCATGCTCCGTACTGATTCTCTGATTACACGGCGTTTTATGTTTCCAGGTGGAGCGGCACAAAGATCATCTGATTAATTATATCATCATATTCCTGAGAATAACGACGCCTTTCCTGCCAAACTGGTTCATCAACATCACCTCTCCAGTCATCAACGTCCCCCTTAAAAGTCTTCTTCTTGGGGACCTTCCTGGGTGAGTGGTTGTTGTTTGCTAGAACACTGCTTAGTAGACAAATCATTTAATTTACACCGATAATCCCCGAGGGGTTTTTATTTTGTAATTTTTTTGTGTTTTTTTATACCTATCACAGTCACTATCTTGCCCCACAGCCATATAGACCAGGTTAGGGGTTACACAACAGCAAAGGCTTTGTAAAGTTCCTGGTTTCCCTTTTAACCCCTTCCAGTCCGGACACTTTCCCCCCCTTCCAGTCCGACACTTTCCCCCCCTTCCAGTCCGGACACTTTTCTCCCCCCCTTCCGGTCCGACACTTTCCCCCCCCCTTCCGGTCCGACACTTTCCCCCCTTCCCCCGTCCCCGACACTTTCCCCCCCTTCGGTCCGACACTTTCCCCCCCTTCCGGTCCGGACACTTTCCCCCGATGCCTTCCGGTCCCGGACACTTTCCCCCCCTTCCGGTCCGGACACTTCCCCCCCTTCCGGTCCGGACACTTTCCCCCCCTTCCGGTCCGGACACTTTCCCCCCCTTCCGGTTTCCGGACACTTTCCCCCCCCCTTCCGGTCCGGACACTTTCCCCCCCTTCCGGTCCGGACACTTTCCCCCCCTTCCGGTCCGGACACTTCCCCCCCTTCCGTCCGGACCACATTTCCCCCCCTTCCGGTCCGGACACTTTCTACCCCCCCCTTCCGGTCCGGACACTTTCCCCCCCCTTCCGGTCCGGACACTTTCCCCCCCTTCCGGTCCGGACACTTTCCCCCCCCCCTTCCGGGTCCGGACACTTTCCCCCCCCTTCCGGTCCGGACACTTTCCCCCCCCCTTCCGGTCCGGACACTTTCCCCCCCCCCCCCCCCCCCCCTACACCCGTCCGTCCGGACACTTTCCCCCCCCCCCCCCCCCCTTCCGGTCCGGACACTTTCCCCCCCCCCCCCCCCTTCCGGTCGGACACTTCCCCCCCCCCCCCCCCTTCCGGTCCGGACACTTTCCCCCCCTTCCGGTCCGGACACTTTCCCCCCCCTTCCGGTCCGGACCACTATGTTTCCTTCCCCCCCCTTCCGGTCCGGACACGTTTTTCCCCCCCCCCCCCCCTTCCGGTCCGGACACTTTCCCCCCCCCCCCCCTTCCGGTCCGGACACTTTCCCCCCCCCTTCCGGTCCGGACACTTTCCCCCCCCCCCCCCCCCCCCCTTTCCGGTCCGGACACTTTCCCCCCCCCCCCCCCCTTCCGGTCCGGACACTTTTCCCCCCCCCCCCTTCCGGTCCGGACACTTTCCCCCCCCCCCCCCCCTTCCGGTCCGGACACTTCCCCCCCCCCCCCCCTTCCGGTCCGACACTTCCCCCCCCCCCCTTCCGGTCCGGACACTTTCCCCCCCCCCCCCCCCCCCTTCCCCCCCGGTCCGGACACTTCCCCCCCCCCCCCCCCCTTCCGGTCCGGACACTTCTTCCCCCCCCCCCCCCCCTTCCGTCCGGACACTTCCCTCCCCCCCCCCCCCCCCTTCCGGTCCGGACACTTCCCCCCCCCCCCCCCCCCCCCCTTCCGGTCCGTACACTTCCCCCCCCCCCTTCCGGTCCGGAACACTCCCCCCCCCCCCCCCCCCCTTCCCCCACTTCCCCCCCCCCCCCCCCTTCCGGTCCGGACACTTCCCCCCCCCCCCCCCCCCCTTCCGGTCCGGACACTTCCCCCCCCCCCCCCCCCTTCCGGTCCGGACACTTCCCCCCCCCCCCCCCTTCCGGTCCGGACACTTCCCCCCCCCCCCCCCTTCCGGTCCGGACACGGACACTTCCCCCCCCCCCCCCCCCCCTTCCGGTCCGGACACTTCCCCCCCCCCCCCCCCTTCCGGTCCGGACACCCCCCCCCCCCCCCCCCCCCTTCCGGTCCGGACACTTTCCCCCCCTTCCGGTCCAAACACTTTCCCCCCCCCCCCCCCCTTCCGGTCCAAACACTTTCCCCCCCCCCCCCCTTCCGGTCCAAACACTTTCCCCCCCCCCCCTTCCGGTCCAAACACTTTCCCCCCCCCCCCTTCCGGTCCAAACACTTTCCCCCCCCCCCCCCTTCCGGTCCAAATACTTCCCCCCCCCCCTTCCGGTCCGGACACTTCCCCCCCCCCCCCCTTCCGGTCCGGACACTTCCCCCCCCCCCCCTTCCGGTCCGGACACTTCCCCCCCCCCCCCCCCCCTTCCGGTCCGGACACTTCCCCCCCCCCCCCCCCCCCTTCCGGTCCGGACACTTCCCCCCCCCCCCCCTTCCGGTCCGGACACTTCCCCCCCCCCCCCCCCCTTCCGGTCCGGACACTTCCCCCCCCCCCTTCCGGTCCGGACACTTTCCCCCCCCCCCCTTCCGGTCCGGACACTTTCCCCCCCCCCCCCCTTCCGGTCCAATCACTTTCCCCCCCCCCCCCCTTCCGGTCCAAACACACTTTCCCCCCCCCCCCTTCCGGTCCAAACACTTTCCCCCCCCCCCTTCCGGTCCAAACACTTCCCCCCCCCCCCCCCTTCCGGTCCAAACACTTTCCCCCCCTTCCGGTCCAAACACTTTCCCCCCCCCCCCCTTCCGGTCCAAACACTTTCCCCCCCCCCCCCTTCCGGTCCAAACACTTCCCCCCCCCCCACCCCCCCCTCTTCTTCCAGTCCGGACACTTTCACCCCCCTTCATTTTACATTTTTTTATTTATTTTTTTTATTTATTTTTTGCACTGATTGCCCTCAGGCCACCTTTCAGCGCTATCACACTTTGAAGGACAATTGCGCGGTCATGCAACACTGTACCCATATGAATTTTTTAGCATTATTTTGAGACACATAAAGCTTTATTTTGATGGTATTTATTCACCGCTGGGATTTTTTTTTTTTTTTGCTATGTAAATGAAAGTCCAAAAATTTTGAAGTTTTTCTTATACAAAATTGCAAATAAATCTTTCTTTATAAATCTTGGCCAAAATGTATTCAATTATCTTTTTAGTAAAAAAAAAAAAAAATAACCCAAATTAGTTTATAACCAAAAATTATAATTTTTCTAAATTTTTTATTTTTTATTTGTTTTTTTTTAACATACTGTCACTCTAGCAGTACAGTCACCATGGTGACACTGTACTAGTTGAGGGGGGTGATGAAGATGTATATTTTTTATTTTTACATTGATTGCTTTTACACCCATAAAGGCTGTAAAAGCAATCATTTCTCCTTCTCTCTGGCTGCATTCTTGCAGCCATTGAGAAATATTGTGATAGCTGTGATTGGTCCCAGCTTGTCACATGGTACAAGGCTGTTGTGAATGGCCCTGTACCATGTGATCTCTGTGATCATTCACAGATTTAACATGTAGTAAGCAATGATGTCAGGCCAATCAGTGATCACATGATCGGGACCTCACACAGAGGTCCCGTACAACGATCGGTGTTCCACTGTGTCCGGAGGACACAGCGGGCACCAGATCGTGGTGCTGCGCGCTCCCAGGGAGCACACAAGCAAGGGGCAGGGAGGTCGTTTATAAACGGCCACCCGACCCTGCACTGCTCCTGTCCGGGCCGTTTATATACATGGGCCAGACGGGAAGGGGTTAAATTGATTTTCATGCTGCTGAAATATGTTTTCTGTCTTTGTGATGTATAAACACAACTTGCCACCGTTAGTCACTTCTTACACCTTGTCTGTTCCAGGCGTGGCCCCTCCGTCATTCGTGGCGATCAAGGCCGGGACCACACTGTACCAGCTGACCACGGCGGGGGAGGCGGTCTCTTGGAACTCCGTCATTGTCCTCATGATCTTGGCTGTCCTCTCCATCTTGCCTGCCATCTTCCAGAAGAAACTAAAGAAGAAGTTTGAATGAGCCCCGGCCCTCCTTGCTGGGCTGTCATCTCAGGACTCTCTCTGAAGCCTGAGAGGAGATGAAGAAAAATAACTTATTTACGTGTACAGACTGCAGCTTTCCTGCCTTCCTATTAAATTAAAATATTTTATTTAGAACCTTTATCAATAGGCCCCCCCCCCTCCGCTACCACCCACAGCTCACTATGATGGAACGTATTGAGGCCTTAAAACATGGACCATTGCTGGTGACCATGAACTGGAAATATTTGACCATTCTGCCCATCCTGGACTGGGAGACTGAAGGCTGCTCCTTGGAGAAGGTGCCCCAGCTTGGGGTGGAGAGCTATGCACTAGACTTCTCTATCCCATGTACATTGACCACCCAGCCAGTACAGGCTCTAAATGCTCGTATATACAGTGCCGTGGCCTACAGAAGTACCTGCCCCCCCTTGGTGACTGTTACGGTGCAGCAGTTGCCATAGTTGCTTTGTGTACTATGCCCATCGGAACAATTTCTGGTCACCCAACCTGAGCAAAAGCTCTTGAGGATAGTCCTCACCAACCGCCTGACATCTGTGAAAGGGGGAGCTTGGTCAGACCCCAACCTGAGCCGTGGATGCTGTGCTGGGGCCGGCCTAAGGCAGTATCTGCTCTCGTTAGGAGATTAAAGCCTGTACGTGATTGGTGGCCCTAGATGAGTATTAGCTGTAGAACGTCTGTGGAAGCCACGTGGTTCCAAGGACTGTGCAGGTTCTGGTCCTGATCAAAGAGCCAGCCCACCCAAAGGTGATATTTCCATGTCTGGTGGACAGAGACAGACACTGGGTTCTTGTATCTCTCGGGGTTCTCCAGTGGTGATGTATTCCACTCCTAAAACTGCAGCACTGCATTAAACCTTCTTTCACCTGTTGATGGATTAATGGGGTGCTGGGTCAAAGATGCCCATCTTGGATCACCATAATAGAGAATAGATAAATCAGAACCACACGCCGATCTCCACTCCTCCAAATACTTTTATTGAAGCATCAACTGTGTAGCTTCGAGTATGGTGTCTCCATCCAAAAGAAACCACCGACTAATGTGTTTCATCACAAGGAACCATGTGATCAAGCCATTGATGATGAAATGCATTGGTTACTTTTGGGTTGAGGCTCAAAGATTCCCATCCTGGCTCACCATTATAGAGAAGAGACAAATGAGTGCTGCACTCTGAATCTCCATTCTTCCAAACACTTTCATTCAAGCATCAACAATGTAGCTTCAAGTATGGTGTCTCCATCCAAAAGAAACCACCGACTAATGTGTTTCATCACAAGGAACCATGTGATCAAGCCATTGATGATGAAATGCGTTGGTTACGTTTGGGTTGAGGCTCAAAGATTCCCATCCTGGCTCACCGTTATAGGGAAGAGACAAATGAGTGCTGCACTCTGAATCTCCATTCTTCCAAACACTTTCATTCAAGCATTAACAATGTAGCTTCAATTATGGTGTCTCCACTTTTGGGTGGAGGTTCATAGCTGCCCGTCCTGGTTGACCATTATAGAGAAGAGATGAATGAGAGCTGCTCTGCTCTTCATTGTTCCAGACACTTTCATCCAAGCATCAACAGTGTAGCTTCAATTATGGTGTCTCCATCCAAAAGAAACCACCGACTAATGTGTTTCATCACAAGGAACCATGTGATCAAGCCATTGATGATGAAATGCGTTGGTTACTTTTGGGTTGAGGCTCAAAGATTCCCATCCTGGCTCACCATTACAGAGAAGAGACAAATGAGTGCTGCACTCTGAATCTCCATTCTTCCAAACACTTTCATTCAAGCATTAACAACGTAGCTTCAATTATGGTGTCTCCACTTTTGGGTGGAGGTTCATAGCTGCCCGTCCTGGTTGACCATTATAGAGAAGAGATGAATGAGAGCTGCTCTTCATTCTTCCAGACACTTTCATCCAAGCTTCAACAGTGTAGCTTCAATTATGGCGTCTCCACCCAAAAGAAACCACCATCAGTGTTTTAACGTGTTTCAGTACAATCACAAGGAATAATGGGAGCAATCCATTTAGAATGAAATGCGTTGAGGGTGGAGGCTCGAAGAAGCGTGTCTTGGTTCACCATTATACGGAAGAGATGTATGAGGGATGTTCTTCACTCTTCCAAACCCCTTTAGTCAAGCAACAACAGTGTAGCTTCAGCTACGGTGTCTCCACCCAAAAAAAAAAGAGCCTTTTAACACATTTCACGCCAATGACAAGGAATCATGTAATTAAGCCATTTGTAAATGAAATGCGTTAGTGCCTCAAAGAAGCCTGTCCTGGCTCACCATTATAGGGAAGAGATGTATGTGGGAGGCTCTTCACTCTTCCAGATCCCTTTAGTCAAGCATCAACCGTGTAGCTTCAATTATGGTGTCTCCACCCAAAAAAAACCACTGCCAACTTAACGCGTTTCACTACAGTCAGAAGGACCCGTGTGATCAAGCCGTTTGTGATGAAAACGCGTTACAAGGTGGTTACTTTTGGGTGGAGGTTCAGATGCCTGTTCTTGCTGACCATCATAGAGAAGAAACGCGTTAGTCGGTGGCCAAACTTTGGGTTTGGCCACCATAATTAGAGCTACACGGTTGGTGCTTGAAAAAAAAAGTAGTTGGAAGAGCGGAGATCGGAGTGCGGCTCTCATTCATCCATCTCCCACTCCTGTCAAACTCTCCATGAGATGAAATACATTAAAAATCCAGGAAGGAGAGCGGGGCCCCCTCGTAATGGCTGTGGAGATATCTCACCACTGGAGTACCTGGGGGGATAGGAGAGCGGGGGCCCCATGTAATGGCTGTGGAGATATCTCACCACTGGAGTCTCTGGGGGATAGAAGGAGAGGGGCCCCCTCGTAATGGCTGTGGAGATCTCTCACCACTGGAGTCCCTGGGGGATAGAAGGAGAGCGGGGCCCCCACGTAATGGCTGTGGAGATATCTCACCACTGGAGTTCCTGGGAGATAGGAGAGCGGGGCCCCCACGTAATGGCTGTGGAGATATCTCACCACTGGAGTCCCTGGGGGATAGAAGGAGAGCGGGGCCCCCACGTAAATGCTGTGGAGATATCTCACCACTGGAGTCCCTGGGGGGATAGAAGGAGAGCGAGGCCACCTCGTAATGGCTGTGGAGATCTCTCACCACTGGAGTCCCTGGGGGATAGAAGGAGAGCGAGGCCACCTCGTAATGGCTGTGGAGATATCTCACCACTGGAGTCCCTGGGGGATAGAAGGAGAGGGGCCCCCACGTAATGGCTGTGGAGATATCTCACCACCGTAGTCCCTGGGGGATAGGGGAGCGGGGCCCCCACGTAATGGCTGTGGCGATATCTCACCACTGGAGTCCCTGGGGGATAGAGAGTGGGGCCCCCACATAATGGCTGTGGAGATATCTCACCACTGGAGTCCCTGGGGGATAGAAGGAGAGCGGGGCCCCCACGTAATGGCTGTGGAGATATCTCACCACCGGAGTTCCTGGGGGATAGAAGGAGAGCGGGGCCCCCACGTAATGGCTGTGGAGATATCTCACCACTGGAGTCCCTGGGGGATAGAAGGAGAGCGGGGCCCCCACGTAATGGCTGTGGCGATATCTCACCACTGGAGTTCCTGGGAGATAGGAGAGCGGGGCCCCCACGTAATGGCTGTGGAGATATCTCACCACTGGAGTCCCTGGGGGATAGAAGGAGAGCGGGGCCCCCACGTAATGGCTGTGGAGATATCTCACCACCGGAGTTCCTGGGGGATAGAAGGAGAGCGGGGCCCCCACGTAATGGCTGTGGAGATATCTCACCACCGGAGTTCCTGGGGGATAGAAGGAGAGCGGGGCCCCCACGTAATGGCTGTGGCGATATCTCACCACTGGAGTTCCTGGGGGATAGGAGAGTGGGGCCCCCACGTAATGGCTGTGGAGATCTCTCACCACTGGAGTCCCTGGGGGATAGAAGGAGAGCGGGGCCCCCACGTAATGGCTGTGGAGATATCTCACCACCGGAGTCCCTGGGGGATAGAAGGAGCCATTGGGTGAATTACCAATATTCGTTTTTTTTTTTTTTTTTTGTGAAATGCACCTTCAACAAGACGTGATGTTCTTTAGGGCAGTTGGTGGATCCCGGCTGACCACAAGTGTTTGTTTTAGTTTTGAATGGAATGGGGACAGACTCAGCCCCGCCCCCTGCTCCCCCCGTCACTGGATTTGATTGACAAACGATCAGTCTGCCCGTGGAAGAGCGAGAGAGCCGCTGCTCCTTCTGCACATCGCTGCATGGAGATGGGGCTCAGGTAGGGGTAAGGAGGGTGGCTGGGGGGAGGAGCTGCACACTACACATTTTTAAAATGTGTGTTTTTTTTTTTTTTTTTTTTTTTTAGGAACTGGAAAGCGTGACACCAGATATGCGCAGATTACGGCTGCCATGCGGGCCTCCTGCAGACTGTCAGTGTGCGCTGTCTGCCCGTACATTGGTACATACGTACAGGCGCGGTATCACACTGACAGGGGGACTCCGTGAACTATCAGAGCCATAGTAGTTTGAGAGCTACAAGCCAACCGCCGCAAAGGATGTTGGCACTTGCTAGTGGTGCACCGAAATGAAAATTCTGGTGCCAATACCGAAACTTCAGAATGTGGCTGAAAACTGAAACCAAAATGTCTGCTTATGTGGGGGTGGGGAGGCTCCATTTTTGTTGATTTCATATAATTTTTTTTTTTTTCTTATGATTTTATTGCTGTTGCATTGGGGACCAATAGTCCTCTATGTGATAGCATATGAGAGACAGGTCCTCTTTTTAGGGGGGAGGGGGGCAGGAATGGGGCAGTGTATATAGGGAGGTTCCCTCACTGGCTGTCACTATATGTTGGGGACGATTTTTAAATGCAATTCACGGCTTTTTCTTTTCTTCACTATAGCTAACAGAATCAGCTGTCACTTTCCCCAGAGCTAAAGGAAACTTTGTTTCTTTTACCTCGGGGAAAGAAACTAAAAGGAAATTTTT